AAGCTATCATCTTGCCATAGAAACACTGTTGACGATCATTAGATCCTTTATTCTATTTGTATCAAGTTATCATCTTGCCATAGAAACACTGCTGACGATCATTAGATCCTATATTTTGTTTAGATCAAGTTATCGTCTTGCCACAGAAGCACTGCTGACGATCATTAGGTCGTGTATTTTGCTTAGATCGAGTTATCGTCTTGCCACAGAAACACTGTTGACGATCATTAGATCCTGTAGTTTGTTTATATCACATTTCTTTGTTATTAGAAACGACAGATGTCCAGTTAGATTAGATGTTATTTCTGGTTCATGCCGGAATGATTCAAGTTTATGGGTCTAGCTCTCGTGTACCTGTGTTGCTGCGGAAAAATCGTTGTCCTTTAATTACTTGTCGAAAAACACTAAGATCTAATTACCACAGGAAATTTGACATGCAACTTTAGATATAATACTGAGTTTAGCTCAAAGTGTTACGATATCACAGAAAACACAGTCAATAAAACATTCAATGGACTTAGATTTTGAAGCTTTGCCAAATGATTTTATTGAGTTATCACAGAAACATCTATTCAATGTTGGTATAGAGTCATCTGATTCTTTGAACCAAATGACTTTGTTTAGTGTACCATTCATTGGAGTTAAAGTCATTGTACCAGTTAGTGGAGTTCAAGTCATTTTACTGACTTTAGCTCTTATCGCCTAGCAACAAATATGTCCAAGAAAAGTCATTCCTCTGAACTCAGATATTAATAACTTTGTCTTTTAGTTTGTTACAAATTATACTTTCAGTCCATTTTGAATGTTGATTTTTCACTAGTAAGACGTCTTCTCTGTCACAAAAGACCGACTTATAAACTGTGTTGTTTCCTCAATATCATATCATTTCCTAAAACAAATGAATGGCTGTTTAAGATAAATAACATTTTTATGGACTACAAAATGTTGAAGTCCTACGAACTTTGGTGTCTTCTAGATAGGATGGACTGTTCAGAAAGTTTTCTTCAGCCTCACACCAGAGACGTCAGAGGGCGAATGGTGGCTGATATACTGTGGGTGTAGGATGGGTGATAGTAGAGTGGGTGGTAAGAAGGAATGCTAGTCTGCGGACTGCTGCTGAAACCCTTGTTTTCGGGGGAGTGTGAACCGTTGGTGGAAGTGTTATTGTCGTGGTAGAGAATGGGGACACGGACGACCCTCTGAGTAGCGGCGGCGTGTGCTATGTTAGCAGCCTCAAGGTCGGCAGCTATTTGCCTCTTCCACTTGTTCCGGCGATTCTGAAACCAAATTTTAACTTGTGTCTCGGTCAGGTGAAGAGAGGCCGCTAGCCCCGCGCGTTCCGAACTGGACAAATAACGTTTCATATCAAAAGTGGACTCGAGCTGAAAGACCTGACTTCGGGTGAACACGGTTCTCGTCTTCTTCTTCCGTCGATTTTGTTTCGCTTTATCTTCTTCATTGTCATCCTCTTCGTTGTGACCTTGAGGACCATCGCAAGTCTGATGCTGGATAGTTGCCCGTACTCCATCCATCGGTAGACGCTCTCTGTCAGGGAGCGTTGTTTGAGTCGGAGAAATGCTGGTCCTCATTTTATCCGCTTCTGTTACATACAAGATAAAAACATTCATGTTAATAACTTTTCTATTAAACGTTTATGTAATGTTACACTAGACTTATAATGTTTTATCAACATTAAACATGCAGTAATAGGTGCATGTGCTGAGTTATTTCATGTATTACATTTACGTCAGATATTTTTAACTAAAATATAAATTTATTTTTTGAGTGCGCTTTTGTTATCCATGTTATCCATATTAAGTATAGTCTTAAATATACATATATTTATCCATTTTTAAAGGAAAATATCCCTAACACCTTTTCGCAAGTTATTGATATTTAACATTTAGTCCTTGTGCTGTCAAGGATGAGATATGCCATCTTGTGGATGTTATCATTGTTGGTGTTGATGTATATTGATCTGAAGTAATATATAAAACTTCGCGTTCAACATTAGCGAATTTTACTCAAAGCGTTAAAAGCGAAATCTTTACTAGGTAAATTCATGAATTGGTGAATCACAATATAATACAATGTAGGTAAATATGTTTGAGTTATTTCCGGGATTATTCAGCATGCAAATACATGCATATAAGGGTCCGGCATGGCCAGGTGGTTAGGGCGCTTGACTAGCAATCTGAGGGTCGCGGGTTTGAATCTCCATCCCAACAAACATGCCCTTACAGCCGCGGGGCCATTATAATGTGACGGTCAATCCCACTATTTGTCAGTAAAAGAGTAGCCCAAGAGTTTACGGTGGGTGGTGATGACTAGCTGCCTTCCTTCTAGTCTTTCACTGTTAAATTAGAGATGGCTAGCGCAGATAGCCCTGGTGAAGTGCGAACTTTAACACAACCGAATTAAGAGATAGTATATTAACACATAAATATTAATATAATAACATAATTGGGGGGGGGGTCAGAGTGAAATCGTGGAATAGCTAAACTCTGACTCTCTTGTAGTAATTATCTCAAAATTGAACAGTTACAAATCAAGTGCAGGAGGGAGGAAGAGGTCACTGAACCTGACCCTCCCAGGTCTAAAACACCTAAATAACGATACCTGTATATATATATATAAATGTACATTCTACCATAACTGAAACGTTTAGTAGTATACCTCTAATTCTTCGGGCTAATAGGAACCTGTTAATTATAGTATTTTAGCACTTGTGTATAAAGTTAAAATCATAAATAATATTCAACGTTACAACGTCATCCTCATGTAGAGTCGTCAACTTTTTGAAGGCCATAGATAGACCTAAATAAAATGTTTTTAACTGTGTACCAGTTTAACGTTGAATAATATTTATGATAGGAACCTGTTAATTTACTTTAAATCATTATTTATTTAATAATATATAATTGTAAAAAATTTTATGTTGTCTTCATAAATCTTGTGAGAAGAATGTGGCATAAAGTACAAACAGACATTTTCAGACAAAATATAAACGTTCTAGTATTAGTGGCATCAAGTATGAAAAATAGTTTTAAGAGAGAAATTAATTAGCCACTTCCGGTTCCCAATAAGATAAGTTTTCTCCGAAGTAATGACATCAAATATGAAGAGCATTTTTAAGGTCACTTCAGATTAAATCATTGGCCACTTCCGGTTTCCAATAAGATAAATTTAATAGTGATATGAAACATAAAAGGATGAAAAGTCACTTAATTGTTACATGGCATGAAGTATTATGAATGTTGACCGGTGATTTATGTAAACAACTCTGAAGCGTAATACCTCGTGACATGCAAAGGGTATAAATTGTCTTGTAAATAACTCCTGAAGAAGACGTAGAAGTACGTTGAAACATGTAGAATGTTTTTAAGTAAAAGACGTTGACAGCTATATTAAACTTTTAATTGTGTAAGTAAGAATAAGAATCGATCATTCTAGTTATTAATTTAAGATTAAATATTGCACAAGTGCCGATTATTCAGACTTATGAAGAGCAGTTTAAAAGCCACTTAAGAGAAAATATTAAGCCACTTCCAGTTTCAGTAAAAATAAAATTAATTACGAAGAAAAGTTTTGGGGAACTTCCTGAGGAAGTGTCAACTATTTCCGGTTCCAAATAAGATGAGGTTTCTTCTCTAAGAACTGAATTAACTATGTGAGGAGTACTTTTGGGGCACTTCCTGGGGAAGTATCAATAAATTCCGGTTCCCAATTAGATGAGTTTTCTTCTCTAAGAATGGAATTAATTACGAAGAAAGGTTTTGGGACACTTCCTGAGGAAATGCCAAATATTTCCGGTTCCCAATAAGATGAGGTTTCTTCTCTATAAATGGAATTAACTATATGAAGAGTACTTTTTGGGCACTTCCTGGGGAAGTATCAATAACTTCCGGTTCCCATTTAGATGAGTTTTGTTCTATAAGAATGCAATTAATTACGAAGAAAGGTTTTGGAACACTTCCTGAGGAACTGTCAAATATTTCCGGTTCCCAATAAAATGAGGTTTATTCTCTAAGAATGGAATTAACTATATGAAAAGAACTTTTGGGCACTTCCTAAAAAATTATCAGTCACTTGCAGTTTGCATTTTTTATTTCCACCCAAATCACTTCTATAATCATTTAAATGTAATAAAAATCCACAATATAACAACAACGACAACCATAAGATGGCACAACCTGCCGTTTCTTACGTTGTTTGTTGTAAAAACCTACCCTATAACAGTAACAACAACCACAAGACAGCACAACCTGCCGATCCTTATGTTGTTCGTTTGTTGTTAATTATAAAGCTACATAATAGATTATCTGTGCTCAGCTCATTGCAGATATCGAAACTAGATGTTTAGCGTTATAAGCCCTAAGCACTGATTCGTCGGGGGTAACGTTTCATATATGGTATACAGATTAAATAATAATTTAAATAATACAGTCAAGTATTCTTTGACGAGTATTGAAGGTATTTCTTTCTATTAAACTTTCTATGTTAAATTTTAACATCCTGTATATTTCTCTACTTCGTATAATAGCCCTACGGTTCTGCATTTTTTATGTTGTACCTCAAACATGATGTTTAACACATTTTCTACCGTTGCATAATCTTCATTTCTATACCATTCTTGTTCGAATAACCAAACATCTCATTGCTGCTTATTAATCAATATGGCATTGACTCTGATCAGTTATCCAGTTTCAAAGTATTTGTTACCCGTGATAGTTTGTTTGTTGTTAAGCGCAAAGCTACACAATGGGTTACTTGTGCTGCGCCCACAACGGGGAATCGAACACAGCTATGTAAGTCCGCCAACTTACAGCTGACCCATTGGAGAACAACTATGAGGAAGGTAATTTATTGTAAGTCTATTCAACATTACGATGGAGAACACCTGTAAAGGAAGGTACTTTATTGTAAGTCTATTCAACATTACGATGGAGAACACCTGTGAAGGAAGGTACTTTATTGTAAGTCTATTCAACATTACGAAGATCATATGGTATACTAAATTCTACAGAATAGCTATTGGTCACTTTCTTTACAAAAACAAAAACAAAACCCCATGGTTTATGTGTCAGGTATACAATTTGATAAAAACAAAACGCCATGGTTTATGTGTCAGGTATACAAGCCACCATGGTTTATGTGTCAGGTATACAAGCCACCATGGTTTATGTGTCAGGTATACATGCCACCATGGTTTATGTGTCAGGTATACAAGCCACCATGGTTTATGTGTCAGGTATACAAGCCACCATGGTTTATGTGTCAGGTATACATGCCACCATGGTTTATGTGTCAGGTATACAAGCCACCATGGTTTCTGTGTCAGGTATACAAGCCACCATGGTTTATGTGTCAGGTATACATGCCACCATGGTTATGTGTCAGGTATACAA